GGGGCCGGGCAGTTTGCGGCAGAGAAGAAGTGTTCATCTACTTCTATGATCTTTATATCTTCAATAGTTTCACATTCGTACATTCCTAAATAGAAGTTACTTATCATTTCATGATTAGTTCCTACTTTTCCACTAGACTTTAGATTAAATATTCTTTCTTCAGAGAAGCCCTCCTGTTCACTAGGCTAAATAAGTCACCACTGATATTATATTATACCATTCTACCCACTTCCTTTGTGGCACTCATTATGATTTTTAATTATTGTATTTTCTAACTTGTTTATTATTCCTATTAGGATATAACCAACAAAAAGTCTGTCTTCTTCGTTTCATTTTCAATGCTTAGTCCAGTCTTTGATAAAAAGTAGCTGTTGGCGGGGTTGGGGATGTGGCTCAAGCTGTAGCGTGCTCGCCTGGCATGTGTGCGACCCGGGTTCTATCCTCAGCACCACATACAAACAAAGATGTTGTGTCCGCCGAGAACTAAAAAAAACAATAAATAAGTAAATATTAAAAATTTTAAAAAGTAGCTGTTCAGTAAGTTTTCTGGATGAATGGAAGTCTAGATCAGTTGATGGATGAAAAGATGAATGAATGTATAGATGCATAGATATGTATAGTTATTTAAATGGATGGGAGGATGGGTGGCTCAAGGGTATAGATGAATAATTGGATGGATAAGGAAGCAGATGTTCCATAAATATTTTCTGTTTATGATGCAGATTCGTGGTCGGTGAGTGCAATAATGGACTGAAGGAATAATGATTGGTTGCAAGGAAGCCTGAATGAGTGTCTTAGTGGCTGATTGAATCTCAGCTCCGCTCAGCCAGGGGCGCTGCAGGGCCACTTGCTCATCCGCAGCTCTAGGCTGCCCTYGCTCGCGCAGCCGCAGTTCCGCCGGCACTGCGGGGCGTAGAGAGCGTCGCTTAACTGCTGCGGGATGCTTCTCAGCACTTTTCTGCACCTAGGTGCATTCCCTTCGGTCGCTCCGAGTGAGTCCCTGAGGGTGCGCGCTCCAGGCGTCATCTGTGCGAGGACCCCAGGTGGCCTCCAGGAGTCCCTGTCAACCCCGGGAAACCGAGGCCCCKGGGCGGAGCAGCAGCCGGGGTCAGCGCTAAGCAGGGGGTCCATCCTGCGCGCAGGGCCGGGGGCCTCCCGGGAAGAGGCCCTTGGTGGGCAGCGGGCTCCCTCGGCCGCCCCAAGCCGACGTCAGAGGCGCGCGGCCTCGGCTCCGTGTCGGTCTGCGCCCGGCCAGCGGCGCGCCGGTGGGCCCGGAGCCGGGCGGAGGACGCGCAGAGCCTCGGGTTCTTGTTTTTGTTTTTAATATTTACTTTTTAGGTTTCGGTGGTCACAACATCTTTATTTTATTTTTATGTGGTGCTGAGGATCGAACCCAGCGCCCCGCGCATGCCAGGCGAGCGCGCTACCGCTTGAGCCACATCCCCAGCCCGCCCCTGGGTTTTTCACACCCGGTTCTCCGACTCATGGCATTCGTCTCATAGGGTCAATCTTTGTGTCACGATGAACGTTCCCCTCGAAGACTTTTAAAAGCAAGAGCTAAAACCCATTTTGAAGACTGGTTGATTGAAGTTTAAGTTAAGGACACTCTAAGGGCCCAGAGGGGCAGCGTCTGGACTCGCGTCCCTCTTCTCACTGAAAGCCCTTTCCCCGTGCTTTTTTCTGCCTAGGCCTCGCTGCTGTGCGCCTCTCTTGCAGACAGATGACAGCTCTTCCTTGGACGTTTTCACTGGTTCTGCAACACCCAGTGTCCCCTTCTCTCCGCACTCCCCGGTGGGCGCCCAGTGTCCAGGGGGAGGATGTCCCTGGGTAAGTGTTGCTACTCATGAGCACCTGGAAATGGGGGGTGCCTCCTATATTGCTTTTGTGGACACCAGTAGAGGGGAAGGTGATGGAGCTCTACCACGTTCTGAAAAACGGTGTGGCAAAGCCTGTGTGCAGATACCTGTGTAGGTATTGGGGTGGGGTACATGGCTGAGTTTGGGGACCAGAAAGACCTGGGTAGATCCTGGCTAAGTTTCCTCATTTTCCTGAGCTTTACTTTCTGTAAAGTAGGGAAGCTGCCAAAGCTCTGGCSGGTGAAGGGTTTGTCTGCTTTTGTTTTGCTTTTGAGCCTTTATGTCTGGCTACATGTAGATGCACAGTAATTGGGTGGATGAGTAATTTAGGCGTTTTGACCAGAAGTTGGTCTTCCCATGAACTTTTTTTTTCAATACTGTGCATTAAACCCAGGGTCTTGTACACTGAGCTATATACCAGGTTCTTTTCATTTTTTATTTTTAGACATGGTCTTGCAAAGTTGTCCAGACTTGCCTTAATCTTGACATCCTCCTGCCTAAGCCTCCCAAGTCATCAGGAATTACTGGCATATGGCACCATATCCAGCTTTTCCTGGGGCAGGTGAAGCTTATGTTGGAAGAGATAACTGCATAGTGCTTAGGGTTATTTGAGCTTGACACTTAGACAGTCAACAAGAATTTATCCATTTGAGTCTCTTTGGCAGAAGATGGGTCCCAGGTGATGAGGAAACCTTCTAGAACCTCTACAGTGTTATCAGAGTTTGCACAAAAATGATCTGAAAAGTTCTCTATAGAAGATGATTATTTGCCCCTGTGGAATTGTCAACTTCTTTCCTTGTTCATGAGGAAATGGTGTAGTTCATGAGGAAATGGTGTAGTTCATAGATTAGTACAACAGCCCACATTTGTTAAACAGCTAGTTACTGTGCTAGAAGCTCTCCATATGCTTACAAGGATGAGTTTGACTAGGTGACATTTAGGTGACTCATCTGGTACTTCTTGTTTATTGGAAAGGTGGTACCTTAGTGCGAGGGGCCTGTGAGAAGTGTCACCATCCTGCCAGAAAACAGCTGGATGAGAGTGCTCCAAAGATGAGGTCTGTCCCCTGGAGGTCTGGGGCTTTGGTTCCCCAGGCGTCACATATTCTGGGAAACAGATGGAAGTGAGATGAAGGTGGATTCTTGCTGGTTCCCAGTTTTATCCTTCCTGGGGTTTTTGATATGCATCTGGTTGTTGCTCTGCCTGCTTGGGTTCAGAATCTTCAGGGATCCCTTCTTTGGTGTATTGGCAGCAGAACATTTACATGAACAGCAGGAAGGGTTTTGGTATCATGCTAATCTGTACCCACATCTCAGTTGCTTCACCTCCACCTCCTATCTTTGGGAGCTTCTCTTTTCTTCAGTTTAGTTCCCCAGAAAGCAGGAATACAGTGAGCCAGTTGTTCGAGGAGCACAAGTCCCTGTCTTTCACAACCTAAGAACTCCATCAGTTTTCTTTAGAGGTGTCTTCCCTTTGCCTTACCTATCTGGGTCATGATGAAGGAATTTTTGTAGTATTAGAAACAATTGCTGGGTTCTTGTGCTCAGCTGGGCTGGCTGCTCCTGGCTTCTGCCTTAGTCTCCTTTTATAGCAAGCCTTCTGTCCTTTTCTGCCCCTGCATTCGTAAGTGATCATGGGGTGTTCATGTCATGGTCTTTGGTAGTGCAGGCAGAGGAAATGTGGAAAGAACTGTCCTGTGTTTGSAAGGTCTTACCCTGGCCTTCTGCTTCTGGCAGCTTTCCCACACTCCTTCTCAGTTTTGCTCATACCTTGGACTCCAGGGCATTGGCAGCTGCAATGTGTGTGTTACTACTGCTATTGGGAACAGTCTATGTTCTATGTGTGTTGTTGAAGTTCCTTTCAGCAGCCAGTAGAGTCACTGCCAGGCAGCCCGGAACACTCCCACAAACCTGCTTTGGCATTCATTTCAGCCTGTTGCTGGTTACATAGTCAGTATTGATTGCCTTGCCTTTAACCATCTATTTGTCTCCCTCTTTTTTTTTTTTTTAAATTTTTAATATTTATTTCTTAGTTCTCTGCGGACACAACATCTTTGTTGGTATGTGGTGCTGAGGATCGAACCCGGGCCGCACGCATGCCAGACAAGCGCGCTACCGCCTGAGCCACATTCCCAGCCCTATTTGTCTTCCTCTTTAGAGTTAACTCTTATTTGTGAAGAAATGGTGTGCTTGCCAACATTTTTAGGATGCTTAGTGTCTGGTAGCTACTGTGGCAAACCGTTTCCTGGTGCTTACCATGTCCTGCTGTGAGCAATGACACCTGGGTACCCATCAGTGCTCCTTGTCTCTTGCAGATGAGTCCACTGTGTACAGAGGCATCATGGGAGTTGTCATTGTCAGGAACATTCTACACTCCAGGAATCTTGAGGTAAGATTTCTGGTCCATTTTCTGGTCYCTTGTATTGGATACAGCCCTGTTCCCAGGGGCTCTGGGTGATGATGTAGGGGAGCTGAGAGGTGAGATAAAGGTGGTACCATGGGTCCCCAAATCTACCACCCACCCAACCAATTCTAGATCACACCTGACCCTTCACATACCTTCAGTGGCTGCTGCAGGGGAAAGCCTCCAAGGTCCCACGTGTGGAATGAGAGGTCTCTGGGACATCTGCCCTCTCTACCTGGGCACCAGCAACAGCATACTGTAATGATAAATGGGTGGCATGAGAATCCCTTCTGCTGCTATCTCCGGCACTCTACCACTGAGCTATACCTCCATCCCTTTTGTATTTTGAGATAGAGACTTACTAAGTTGCTAAGGCTGGCCTTGAACTTAGGATCCTCCTTGCCCCAACCTTCCAAATTGCTAGGATTAAAGGCATGCATCTCTGCATCAAACAGAACCTAATTTTTTTATTTGAATAAATGAAGTGGTGACAGAAATGACTTTTGTTGTACTTGAAACCCCATGATTCTTACCATTACAACCCTAACATTTTTCCACTGTTTATGTCCAAAGTGACTTCTCTTTGATTCTCCTGGGCAAGGAGTTTGTATGGGGTTTCTCTAGAAAAGAATGGTCRTGGTTGGGTCCTGTGCATGGCTGGCTGGGCTATTTTCATGATTTTTCCCTGTACTATGCCATAGGCTACTAGCATCTGCTGCTCTTCCTGGACCTGTCTCTGCCTGTGTGTGTACCTGCATTCAAAAGTGATCACGGGCTGCCTGTGCTCTGATCATCCATAATGCAGGGAGAGGAATTGCTGAAAGCCATTTCCCGTGTTTGGAGGGTCCAGTCTGTCCCTCTCAAATGCTGGTGCTTTCACACACTCTTGCTTCTTTCCTGCCAACATATTCTGATCTCAGGGATGCTGGGGGCCGCTGAATGAGAATCAGTGATGGGAGACATTATGGCTTAGCCTCCTGTTATCAGAGACCAAACTACATCTGCATCAAGGTTTAGATACTTTAGATGTCCAAAGGAACCAGGATGAATGATGTATAATGAATAAGTGTAATATTAAATGACACATGTTTGTGGCCACAGAATTTTCAAAGGGAAGCAGTCTTTTGTAAGCGTAAGGCTAGGCAGGCAGTGTGCTGGGCAGTAGGAACATACCCCAGGGAGTAGGGAGCAGCATGAGGAAGACTTAGAGGTTGAGTTGAGCGAAAGCTCCTGTCCCACCGAGGAGACAGATGTACAGGCCAGTAGTGATAGCAGGGAGGGATAGACTTTTTGATTATTCTCTAGTATTGAGGTTCCTTTTTCATTTGGTGTGAAAAAAACCTGGTAGCTCATATCTAATGGATTGGGTACATTCTCATTGATGTCAGCATGAAGAATAATGGGATAACCATTTAGCCATTGGAAACCAAACACTTGGGGTAGGGATAGGATGTAGCTAGTGTAGAGCACTTGTCTAGTATATGTGAGATCCTGGGTTCCATCTCTATCACCACCAAAAGAAAACAAAAAAAAAAAAAAAAGAAAAAGCACTTCATTGGCCCTCCCCTTTCTGTGGCCCTCTCCTCACTCTAGGGATGCTTCCTTGGATCTGGAGATTGTGGAAAGAAGGCCCAAGGGATAGAGGCACTGACCCTTTCAGGATGGTGACATGGGGTGCCAGCTCTCTTTATGGTGATTTATTGCCAAGAAGCCAAGTCAACCTGTGTTTCTGAGATTGAGATAGAAATTCCAAGCCGCTGGCCTGGACTAACTCTCTCTTGGTCTGTGGTGTTGATTGTGGACACTGGCACAGCAGAAAGTGAAGTGTGATGTTGCCACGTGACACATTGTCAGACCTTGCCACTGTTGCCTCAGCACAACGTGGAAACTTTTACTCTGTGCGATCAGGGCAAGGAAAGCCCTGGATTCTGGGGACTTGGGGTTCATAGGTGGAAACCCTTCAGCTGGCTCTGCCTCTCCTCAGCAGTGCCACGGATCCCTGGATGGGAAGACTGGTGTCCATCTCATGTGTGGCCAGCTTCTGTGTCTTCTTGCCTATTCCTGTTTTAACTGTTTAGATCTAAATAAAATGCTAATGACGTTTTCTATGCTGTGTCCTTGTCCTTTTACCTCAATAAATTTTGAAACATGCCCTGCTGCTTGTTCTTTGCTTTTCATTTATTTGTTTGCTAATAGCTCTGTGCACTAGCCAGGCTGAGTGTAGAGAAGGTGGGTCACAGGAGCAGATCTTCTGGTTTCACTCATTGAGAATTACCCCTTGGCACACTCTCAAGGTTTGCTCTGGGGACTATGAGATGGGATGTAGGATTTTTCCTAGAGATTGAATAATCCTATGTGCTTCTAGGAGCTCACACGTAGAAGTTAGAATTGAGTTGGCTGAGGGAAGGGGTGTAGGCCTATAATCCTAGCACCTCTAAAGATCAAGGTCGGAGGATGCCAAGTTTGAGGACAGCCTTAGCAATCTAGGAAGACCCTCAGCAACTTAATAAGACCCTGTCTCTAAATAAAAATTAAAGGGCTGGGGCTGTAGCTCAGTGGCAGAGTGCATGTCTAACATGTGCAAGACACTGGGTTCTATCCTTAGCACCACATAAAAATAAATAAAACCAAAAAAAATAAAGGCATTCTGTCCATTTACAACTACTTTTTTTTTTTTAATTAAAAGGACTGGTGGAGCTGGGGTTGTGGCTCAGTGGTAGAGCACTAGCCTTGCATGTGTGAGGCCTTGAGTTCGATCCTCAGCACCACATAAAAATAAAAAAATAAAGATTAAATAAATGTACTGGACTAAAAATAAATAAATAAATAAATAAATAAAAGGACTGGGGATGTGTCTCTGTTAAAACAACTCCAGGTTCTATTCCCAGTACCATAAAAAAAAAAGGAAAAAAAGTTGAAGAAAATAGTTGACTGATAAATTATTTTTTAACAATTTTTTCTTTGGTACTGGGGCCTTGCTATTGCTAAGGCTGGCCTCAAGTTTGCAACCCCCTTGTCTCAGCCTCCTGAGTCACTGGGATTATGGGTGTGTGCCACTGTGCCCAGAGGGGTCGGGGCTTTGGGAGGGAAGATGATAGTGGGGTGGACATAGCAAAAAGGCAGGGCCAAAGATCTGGAGGAAGGCAGTGGTGCTCTGAGCCCTAGGTGATGAAAGTACACCAGGATCTGGAGTGAACTTAGGGGGATGGTTTTGAGCAGAGGTGGGAGTAGAGTACACAAGGAGAGTCCCTCGGAGGACTCTGGAAGCATCGTAGGCAAATGCCGGTGTTGGGATTTCTATTTATCACCAGGTCTATTTGCTCTTTGGGGATTATGTTCAGTAGCAACAGTGCGCTCAGCATGTGTGTGTATAACCACCTGTGAGCACATGATCTGTCTTCACTTTTCAGGTGAGGTCCATACAAAGGAACACTCCCAAAGGCGTGACAGAGAGGGGAGAGTCCATTGGTTTATTTCTTCAATTGAAACTGAACTCACTGTGACAGGGGCTGAGGGGAACCAAGCCCTCAGACACCTCAGGGCCAGCAGGGGCATTCTTAGGACTGAAGAGCATTCTGCCAGTCACTTCTTTTTTTGTACTAAGTATTGAACCCAGGGGTACTTTACCACTGACCTACACCTTGAGTCTTTTTTTTTTTTTTTTTGAGACATCCCACTAAGTTGCTGAGGCTGGCCTCAAATTTGTGACCCTTCTGCCTCAGCCTCACAAGTTGCTGGATTATAGGCTCTGCCAGCCATTTCTGGCAGAGGTCCATATCTCTACGTTGCCCTCCACCATAATTCTTACCCAAGGGCCATTTGTCATCTCCCTTTTGCTATCTGAAAGATCCACCCTGCCCCAATCCCTTATGATCAATTTTGAGCTACCATGGTCCTTGTCCTTTAGTGAGAAATGGACACATTTCTCCCAATGTGGCCAAAGTGTCCCCCACCCCCACATTTCTGAGTCCGCTGACTAGTTTTAGTGATGTTTTACTGTTGGTTCCTTGATRTTGGTAGCCCCCTCTTTCCTTAACAGACTGACTATTCCCTCATGGCTGAGTAGCTCCCTTCAGCAATTGAGAGCAGGTTCTACTTCCCTCCCCTTTCGTGTCTCTGTGCCTCTCTCATCATAGTTTTCCTGACTCCTGATCCTGGGGTCTCTGATGCCCTGCTTAGCCTCTGCTCCACAGGAGAGGACAGTGGTGGAGCACTGGGAAGGAAAGGAAGAGATGAGATTGCTCTGACTGGTGGAGAGGAGTAGGGCGATGGGATGGGGAGCCTCAGGGGTCTGGGACATGATCATTTAGGTGGCTTGGCCCACAGTTGCCAAAATTTCCTTCTTAGGAAGGAAACTGATTTGTGAAGGGTTCACAGACTGCCTTCTCTTTTTGCATCCTAGTGACTCCATAGATCACAGGCGAGGTCTCCTCACTGCTTGTAGTCTGCCTGTGCATTCTCACCTCACACAGCCCTCCCCACAAGAATCCTAGCCCCAACCTCTACTACTTACAGGTCCTCAAAATGTTCTTTTCCTGCTATGCACCTGAGAGTCATTTCCCACTTCAGAAAGCCACTCAGCTGTCACTTCCTTAGCTACACCTCCACCCAGATTGACTCTGTCCTTCCATTCATTCATATCAAGTGTCAATTATGTGCAGGTAAAATTCTAGGAACTGATACACAACACAATCAAAGGAGCAAATCCCTGTTTTCATAGTACTTACATTTTGGAGAACAGCGACATATCATAAAATAAGGTACTAAAACATGTAGTATATTAAAGAAGTACTAAGGGAAAAAATCATAGGGAAACAAGATAGGAAGTATTTGGTTAAGTTGGCCAAGTGACGTTTTGCACTGAGGAGACAGGAAGGCCTCGTCCCGGAGGAGTGATTTGAGGGAGGGCTCTCGCCCTTGAGCATTGACTGCAGCCTACATAAGCTACAAACTATCAGAGCACACACTGGCTATGGTTTAGATATTAGGTGTCCCCAAAAAACTCATGTGTGAAACAATGTGAGATGGTTTAGAGATGAAATGATTGGATTATCAGAGCCTTGATCCAATCAATGCATTAACCCACTGATTAACTGGGTGGTAACTGTAGAAAGTAGGTGTGGCTGGACATGTGGGTTACAGAGGCATGCCTTTGAGGTATATATTTTGTACCTGGTGAGTGGAGTCTCTCTCTGTTTCCTGGTGCCATGTTCCCAGCTACTTTCCTACACCACACTCTTCCTCCATGATATTCTGCCTTGACTTGGACTCTGAGGAACGGGAATCAGCCATCTATGGACTGAGACCTTGTAAACTGTGAGCCCCCAAATAAACTTTTCCTCCTCCTAAATTGTCCTCATTGAGTCTTTTGGTTGCAGCAGTGACCAAACAGAGTACAACAACTAAGGGTACTAGAGAGCTCTCTCTACCAGGCCCAGTGACCTTTGGAGGCAGGAAGTGTCTGAGGCCATTGCAAGGCTCCTCCTGTTTTTGACCATCTGTCGGCTTGAGGTGAAGTTGACATCCAGATGAGACCAAGATCAACAAGTCAGCACTGCACTCAGGGCCAGGTTCCCCCTCTTGACTCTGCTTGCCCCTTGCCCATGATCATAAGTTCAGTAATTGGTAAAGCACAGTCACCCCAGGGCAACCATTGATAGACCTAACCCATGACCTTGGTTCAAAACCAATAGCAGTAGCTGGGAATGGTGGCACATGCCTGAAAGCCCAGCAACTTGGGAGGCCGAGGCAGGAAGATCACAAGTTCGAGGCCAACCTCAGCAATTGAGCAGGGCCTAAAGCAACTTAGTGAGACTCTGTCTCAAAAAAATAAAAAGGGCTGGGGATATAGCTCAGTGGTAAAGCACCTCTCGATTCAATCCCTGGTACCAAAAGAAACAACATAAATAAATAAATAAATAAAACCTAAACCAACAACAGTGATAACCAAGATTCCTTGTGGGGGAGCTTCGCATAGGTCATGAACCTAACTGTTTACAGGAACAGAAACAGGAAGACATAGAGGGTCTGCACCCAGGAGTTCGGAGCATTGAGCTCCTGTTTCAGGTGAGAGAACTTTTCTAGAAGTCTTACAGGTGGAAAATACTTCAACTTCCAAAGCACATTTGTACTCCACAAGGTCTGGCTGTGGGCAGCACTCAGATTTCCAGGTTCAGTCTTCTCTGAATTTCTGTCTTTTTTTTTTTTTTTTTTTAATGAGAAATCTTGATGTTTACCACCACTGTGCCCAATACTAGAGGGAGCACAGTGACACTCATTACAGCCAACAGACACGCCAGCATAGTGCCTGACAGATGGAAAGTGCCTATCAGCACTCAGGGATGGGAATGAGGCCAGTGGCAGCCTGGAAAACATGGAACAGGAGTAGTTTTTGTAAGTCCTTTGGCCTCCAGGGCTATAAATGCCATGTCACCAGAATGCCCTACTTGRCCTGCATTGGGAAACCACCTAATGAAATCATAAGAACCTGGTATGGTCACTTAATTGCCATGAGGCCTGAAGTACATTCTTTTGCCTCCCTGAACCTCAGTTTCTGGCTCTGTAATTTGACCACAGAATAGCACTTACTCCAAATAGCAAGGATTAAATCAGATGATGCATGTTAAATGCATGATAAGGTACCTGCTTCATGCCTCAATAAATGTCAGCTATTTTTATCTGATGAGCATATATCCCAGTGGGGCTGGTGTTAATCATCACTATCACTGGTTGAACTTTTATTAAATGCCATGCACTGTATTAAGCCCACATATATAATTACCTCATTTAATCTTCATACCACAGTGGGGTAGATTTAATTATCTTCCATTTTACAAATAAGGAAGTCCAGACAGGGAAATGAAGGGACCTGCCTCACACCTAATACCAGTTTTCCATTTCCTGGTATATGAAGTAGTGAAAACTGTTGCAGCCCGATTTCATAAAAAGCAGGCTTCAGAAGCTTCTTTGTACTGGGAAACTGGAAATTGGATATTTTACTAGTCCTTCCATTGGCTTCAAATTATTGCCTGTTATCCTGTCTTCCTAAAAGATTCTCCATCTAGAGGTCCTGCAGATTGAACTTGTGTCCCTGACATGTATAGGGTCAATAGCCAACACCCAAATAT